AAATTCTGTCTCCCACTTAGAGACAGGTAAGCCTGGGGGCGCCCAGGTGGCTCAGTTGGTTGAGCGTCTGACTTTGGCTCAGGTCATGATCTTATGGTCCGTGAGTTCGAGCCCCGTGTCGGGCTCTGTGCTGACAGCTCAGAGCCTGGAGCCTGCTTTGGATTCTGTGTGTGTCTCTCTCTCTCTGCCCCTCTCCCACTTGCCCCCCCCCCCCGTCTCTCAAAAATGAATAAACATTTTAAAAAATGATAAAAAAAAAAAAAAGAGAGAGAGACATGTAAGCCTGAACACACAGATACATCCTAGTGTTAGGCCTGGGGGCATATTTGAATACAGACTAATTCCTTAAGACTCCAGTCACTGGTGAATGCTCTTCCATCTAGAAGCTTCTGCTCTGATAAGATCGTAAATACACGGAGAGCGGAAGAAGCCGTGGACTCAAAGGAACGGTCACCTTAGCTCTGCTCGTGGTGAGCGGTCACCTTAGCCTCACCTTAGCCTCATGATCTGCAGAGGCCAGCGCAAAATAAAAATGCAAGACCCCTTGCCCAAAACACATGAAGAGTTTCAAGACTTCATGAAGTCTTCGAGACTAGGACATCAGAGCATTGAACCACGTACAGTTCCGAGCGAGGGGCCCCCACAGCCGGCCCCGTCTGTAGCTGAGAACTAGCAGGTGGCAAACAGCTGCTGAGAATCTCGGGTTGCGGCCGGAGGTACAGAAGAGAGAAGACGCAGGTGGGTGGCCCCCAGGTGCCAGCGGGGGCGGCCTAGCCAAGGCAGGCCAAATGGACCAAACACACCGTGCCGCACCCCCGTCCCCAGTCTGCATTCGGCCAAGGCCACGCGGGGCTCAGCTCTGTGCATCCTGTCTGCTAAGGAAGCTGCCCAGCGTTCCTGTGTTCTGTGTGCCTGGCACGGAGCTCTTCCTTGGCCATTTCATTGGACTCTTGCCTACATTCCCTCCGTCCGACAGAGGGGGAAACTGAGGCTCGGAACTGCTCTCTTGCCGGAGGCCCCCGCCCAGGTCGTGGCCAGGAGGCATTCTCAGGCTCACACCCAGGGCCCCACGGGTGGGGACTCTATACTCCCGGAGTCCTGCTGTCCTCCCCTTGCCTTTGCGGGGCTCCTGAAGGCAACAGAAGGCTCCACGTCCTTCTCCCCGCTCCCTGCTCACATCCTCCAGGCGTCCTGCAGTAAACAGCCCAGACAGGCCCAGTGCCTAAGCAGAAACGCCATCGGCAAACCCCGCTATCTCAAAGCTGCTCCGAGTCGAAATGTCCCTGCTGATGGGCCAGGCTCGCCTCACCGCTCAGCTTGATTTAGGAGCCTGGAGAAGGAGGCTCTGTTGCTGCAGTATGAAGCAGGCAGGAGGGGAAGGGACCCTGCTGCTGGCTCTGTCTGGCCCCCGGGGGAAAGGACATTCTCAACCACCGGCCACCAGGTACCGAGCACCGCTCCCCTCGGGCCAAGAAATGAGGTAAGCGCCTTGTCACCCTAAGGCCTCAGCACTGCCTTCTGGGCTGGATACCGCCGTTCCCATTTTACAAATAAGGAAACTGAGGCCCGGGGCGCCTGGGTGGCTCAGTCGGCTGAGCGTCCGGCTTCGGCTCAGGTCATGATCTCACGGTTTGGGAGTTCGAGCCCCGCGTCGGGCTCTGTGCTGACAGCTCGGAGCCCGGAGCCTGTTTCGGATTCTGTGTCTCTCCCTCTGCTCCTCCCCTGCTCATGCTCTGTCTCTGTCTCTCAAAAGAAATAAATAAACTTTTAAAAAAGTTTAATAAAATAAAACAAGGAAACTGAGGCCCGGGGAAGTCACTTCCCTGGCCCAAGGGCCTGCAGCCAGTAGGTGGGCTGGTGGGATGTTACCCCGGGGCCGGTCTGCCTCCAGATGTTAAGCTTTTAGCCCCTTGACCGCAGGAACTCCTGAAAACCCCGCTTTGGGGGGCTAGCGAACCACTGTGGATCTCCACTCGCACAGAGCAAAGGTTCCAACGGCCACGGGTGATCAAAAGCCACAGATTCTCCTCGAGTGGCAACAAACTTACTTCCCAGCTGAGCTTTGAACCCAGGCTGCAGCCCCCACTCGACCTGGGCCAGGTGGCCGCCCCCGCAGCTACAATGACCCAGGCCCCGGGGAAAGACGCCCACCCACAGGGGTCACCGATGCCACCCAAGAGCCCGGCAGATTCCCTCAGCTGCAGCTCCCAGGGCCCCCCGCCGATTCACCCCACCATCGGGCGTTGTTGCCTAAAGTGAAGATTCTAGCCTCATGACTCTCATGATTTGAACGTAGTGATGAGTAAACGCGGTATTTTTTTGACGTGGCTCCGACAGGCGAAATGTGATATAAACCATCTGCGACCTCCCCTGATGCCACAGTCTTAACCCGCTACACTCACGTCTGTGCTATGTCGCCCGTAGCGGACAGAAACGCCACACTGCAGTTAGCGGTAAATGAGAGTAAAGATGTGTTTTCCGATCCAAGTTCAAGGGGTCAGTGGACCCGGTCGCCAGGGTCTCCAGGTCGACCAAACCTCAACGAATCGCCCCACTTCTGCCCCATCCTCCTTTCTCCAGACGAAACCTCGATTCCATATCCCAGCCTGAAAGTTGAAGAAACCTGGGCGCCCTGCAAGGTTTCTCCCTGGCCACGCCCGGGATCATCACAGACGCGCGTCTCTGTCCAAGGCTGCGGTTGCTAGTCCCCTCCTCCCTGAAGCCTCCTGTCCCCTCGGGCTGCATCAGGTGCCTCCTCTGTCCCTCCCCAGGCTCCACCCCCCCCCCCCCCCCCCCGGGCGACCCCCACCCCGAGGCCGGCGCCCCGGGGGGGGGCCCGGGGGGGGGGGCGGGGCCCCCCCCCCCCCCACCCCCCGGCCCCCCGGGGGGGCACCGGGGGCCCCCCCGGCCCCCCCCCGGCCCCCCCCCCCCCCCCCCGCCACGTGTCACTTCCAAGACGAGAGCCGGTCACGATGGAGGAAAGCCGTCCGGTGTCTCTCTTCCCCGCACCGCGCCCAGCACGGGGGACGCGTGCTGTCCACGGAGGGAGGAGGGGTGCGCGCCCTCAGCAGCCTTCAGGCGAGCGAGAGGCAAGCCGTGAGTGTGTTCAGCCCCCGTGATTCCAGATTTGTCTGTTGTGGCAGCTGGGGTTGAATACCCTGACACTTGCCCACCCCAGAGGTAGACGGGGAGTGACAGGAGGTCATGCTTTCGTGACTGCATGAGTAAGTGCCCGCGTGCATAAAGCTGGCCAACACCTACGGCAGTTACTATGAACCAGACATTGTCCCGAGAACCCTACATTCATTCAGCCACCTGGTCCTCACGCGCCACACCGATGGGACAGGTGTTTTCACTTTACGGGTGAGAAAACAGAGGCGCAGAGAGGTGCAGTAACTTGCCCCGGGTCACACAGCGAGGAAGGGTGGAAGCCAGGACTTCAACGCAGACCCCAGACTGTGAGACCCGCGGGCCCATCCCTTCCCTAAAGATGGCAAGTGCGGGATCCACGGACACACTGCCGCTGGCGTGAGCAAGGCCACGTGGGATCCGTCAGTGACGGAAACTGCGGTGGCCCTGCTGGGAAGGGAAAGGGGGCAGCGTGGGGGCTCAGAGGTCTCAGCCACTCCTCACCGGGTGACGGTGATAGGCTGAATAGTGGGGCCAAGTTGTCCGCATCCTGAACCCCACGATCTATGAATATGCAACCTTACACGGTGGAAGGGACCCTGTGATGCGGTCAGGGCTCTTGAGAAGGGGCGGGGGGGGGGGGAGACCTAAAGGAAAGTGTCCTGTAAATGAGAATCGGATTTTTCACCCCATTTCGGTGTATCCTCGACCTCTCTCTCTCTGGCTGGTAGCTTTGGGGTCAAAAGCCCCTCCTCCTCTCCCCTTCCACCCCCGCTTCCGTGCTGGGAAAGTCTCCCGATATGTCTTCCGTGGTCTCCCCCTGCAGACTCGGCTTCTAGATGAATAGCAGGTGGCCGGCCAGGTGCCGGCGGGTTGGCCAGAGCCCAGGCCGGGCGGCCGTGGGTCAGAATCAGATTGTCACGCCAGAGAGGACAACAGCCGGTGGCGGCCACTTCCTCGTCTGCAGCTGGGCCGCCCCGCCTCCCTGACCAGGTGGAGACCTCCAGATAGCCTGGTAACCACCAAGGGCACTGGGCAAGCCAGGAAAACTAATCCCGCTGAGGAGACCCAAGCCAGCCCTCTCCATGCTTGTCTTCCTCTGTGGGACCCTTGCCTCTACCAAGTTCAGCCGTCATCCGTTGTTCGCCCCCCAAGTACGTGATGAAGTTCACAGCATTAAGTACCCGTCAGCACTGTTGGTTGCCCACCCGGCAGTCACTTCCCCCTTCTTCCTTGCTCCCCAAACCATCCACCCAGTCCCAGGGGATGCGTCTTGATTGGTCTAAGCCAGTGCCCTCTTGCCAGTGATTGGTCTAGAGGTGGGCATGTGACCCAGGCTTGGCCAATTAAACAGCAAGGGAAGTCTGCTAAGGGACTCTGGGAAGACTGTCTTCCTCTTATTCAGAGAGAGACGGGCCGGGAAAAGAGTTTTTTAATCTTCTTTCTCCCCTCCTGCTCTGGACACTGTTGTCTGAGGTTGTGATTTCTGGGGCTACGATGCCCAGATGTTTGGATCCCCCAGTCTAGATGTGGCTGTGAAGGCGTTTTTAGATGTGATTAGCATTGACATAAGTAGACTGATTAAGCAGATTGCCCTCCTTAATGAGGGTGGGCCTGATCCAATCAGCTGAAGGTGGGGGGGTGGAGAGAGAGGGGGGAAGGCAAATATGGTAAAAATGTTAACATGTGAAGAATCTGGGTGAAGGGTATACAAGAATGTATTACATCCTTCACAATTTCTCTGTATGCCCCGAATGAATTTAAAATAAAAAGTTAACCCCCCCCCCGAAAAGGGGGGGAGGTGGAGGAGGCAGACAGGTTCAAATTTGGTTTCTCTCATGTAATGCCTGGGCTTTCCATGGGAACCCAGGACCAGAGTACCAGCTCCTGGAAGCCCAGAAGCCACCTCGGATCAGTTACAGTCCCTCTCGTACTCAACATCGGAGCCTCCCTCGTGTTTCCTTCGGGAAAATCTGGATTTTCGTAGGTGAGACTCGCGAAGCTCGGTGCGCTCATGTCACCCCAAGAGGGGCCACTAGATTCAAACCCCGGCTGTACCAGTTAGTGGCCATGTGGCCCTGAGGCAGCCCTTGAGTTTTCTGCGCCTCAGTTTCCTTATCTGGAAAACGAGGATAATGATAGCACCTCTCTCGTAGGAATGTCTGTGAGGAGCAGAGGGCGGTGCCCACACAGGGATGATGCTCTGTGACCGCCAGCTGTCCTCGTGACCCTGGGCTGGAGAGTCACACGGACCCAAGTTCGAACCGTCGACGTGCCTAACATTTGCTGGCTGATAGCGCTCAGTCACTTGTCCCTTCCAACCGCGGTGTCCTCATCCGTAAATGTGGACAAGCACTGACGCTTTCACCAGCAGGGTCCGGTGAGGATTGGATCGTGACAGGGATGACATAGGCACTTAGCCCGGTGCTGGGCACACAGTAAGCCCTCACTGAAGGGTCGGGAGAAACAACTCCCTGGAACACCCACCAGGATGGCTACTATCAAAAAAAAAAAAAAAAAAACCCTGGGACGCCTGGGTGGCTCAGTCGGTTAAGTGTCCGACTCTTGATTTCGGCTCAGCTCATGATCTCGCGGTTTGTGGGTTCCAGCCCCACATCAGGCTCAGTGCTACAGCAGGGAGCCTGCTTGGGATTCTCTCTCTCTCGCTCCCTCTCTCTCTCTGCCCCTCCCCTGTTCTCTCTCTCCATAAATAAATAAGCATTTTTACAAAGTTATTTTTTTAAGAAGGAAAAAACCGAAAGACACAAAATGGCAAGTGTTGTTGGCGAGAGTGCCGAGAAATGGGAACCTTTGTGCTCTGTTGGTGGGGATGTAAGACGGGTGAAGCTGCAGCTCCCCGAAAAATTAAAGACAGAACCCCTGTATCGTATCGGTCAGCCCAGGCCGCCAGAAGAAAATGCCACAGGCTGGGTGGTTTAAAGGACAGACGTTGATCTCGCCATCCTGGAGGCTGGAAGCCTGAGACCGGGGTGCCGGCGTGGCCGGGTCCTGGCGAGGGGTCTCCCCCTGGCTTGTAGATGGCCCCCTTCTCGCGGGGTACGCTCATGTTCTTTCCTCCACTTGAAGGCAGGGGAGGAAACAGAACCCCGTTTCTTCCTCTGTTTTGGAACGTTCTTATTTATTTTTGAGAAAGAGAGAGAGACAGAGCGTGAGCAGGGGAGGGGCAGAGAGGGAGACACAGAATCTGAAGCAGGCTCCAGGCTCCGAGCTGTCAGCACAGAGCCTGACGCGGGGCTCGAACCCGCGAACTGTGAGGTCAGGACCTGAGCCGGTCTTGACGACTAACCAACTGAGCCCCCCCCAGGCGCCCCTGTTTCTTCCTCTTTCTCTATAAACGTCCACCAGTCCTGTCTGATGAGGATCCCACCCCCATGGCCCCATTTAACCTTGAGTACCCCCTTTTTAGGTATGCCACGTCTCAAATACGTTCTCCTTGGGGGTGAGAGATTCAACACATGACCTGGGATGGGGGGTGAGCACAGTTCAGTCATAGCACCAATGATCCAGCAAGTTCACTTCTGGGTGTATATTGGAAAGAACTGAAAGCAGGTCTCAGGGATAGTGGCTCACCTGCCCTCGGGGCAGCTTTATTCACAACGACCCAGAGGTAGAAGCTGCCCCAGGATTCCTCCCCAGCCCAACCGATACATCAAAGGCAACGTATACACACAATGGAATCTTCTTCCGCCCTGACAGGGAAGGAAGTTTGACATAGGCTACCTCAGGGATGAACCTTGAGGACCTCATGCCAAGTGATAAAAAGCCAGTCTTGAAAGGACAAATACGGTACCACAGTATCTAGAACAGTCACAATCGTGGAGACAGGAAGTACAGTGGGGGTTGCCAGGGCCCGAACCGACTTCGGTTCAGGTCATGATCTCGGGGTTCATGGGTTCGAGCCCCACGTCCGGCTCTGTGCTGACAGCTGGGAGCCTGGAGCCTGCCTCGGATTCTGTATCTCCCTCTCTCTCTCTCTCTCTCTCTCTCTCTGCCCCTCTCCCGCTCATGCTTGCTCTCTCTCTCTCTCTCTGTCTCCCTCAGAAATAAACATTTAAAAAATTTAGAAATGATTGATTATAAATGTTATGGTGTGCATTTTTACCGCAATAATAATACATTAAAAACAGGTAAAATGAATTCCCTGGGAGTCCTTCCAGCAGGAGAGCAACGGCCCAAAACGGGCCACCAGGGGGCGCTGTGTAGCCATTCCCCTTCTCTCCTCCACAGAAGGAGCTGGCGGTTTCTAGAGAGGTGTAAAAAAAAAAAAACAAAAAACCAAGAACACTAGAGTCTTGGAGAAAGTTAGAGCTCTTTCTTCCCTGCTCCCTTCCCCGATGGACCAGCCCCAGAGCTGCACCGCCCTCCCACCACAAACCGCTCACCCTTGACTCTGACCTCGTTCTTCCTCTGGGTCCCTTCCTTCTGTGCTGGGGACACAGTGACTGGTGGATGGAATGTGCCCGCCCTGCCTCCAGACTGCCCGGGGGCTGGAGAAGAGGGAAAGGTGGCCAGGAGTCACCTGCCCCAGGTTATCCAAAGACGGGAGGACACCACAACGGAAATGGGTCGAGACCCCTTATCCCAGACGCAACGGCCTCAAGGTCAACCAGACCTGGGCTTTCTCTGGCTCAGCTGCTCACTGTGTATGTGGTATCACCCGAGGGAAACTGAAGTGTTTCACGAAATCCAAGAAGACTTCGTAACCCACTCTCATCAGCTTTTAATGATCCTTTTTAACAATGCAACAAACACCCATGAACTCACCGCCCAAAACAAAAACTGGAATCTCGATGGCGACCCACATCTGACCACACGTCCCCCATCCCAGCGTCCTACCCCGCCACCCAAATCCTCACCCTGAATCCCATATTTATTCTTCCCGCGTTTCCTTTTCATAATGTAGTATTGCAAACACGCGTGGAGAACTTGAGTTGCTTTTAACTTTATGAAAAGGAAACCACGTTTATGTGATGGGACATTTTTCACCGGCTGTTCTGTTTCAGAGATCCGTTCATATCGTGATGTGGGGCGATGGTCCCTTCATTTTGACTGCCGTGTGATAGTGCATTGTGAGAATTTATTCGTCTGCTCTCCCACACACGGGCGCTTGGAGGTTTCTCCGTTTGGGCCACCGTGAACAGAGGCCTTAGAAATATCCTGCCGTGTGTTTCCTGTTGTAGACGGGCAAGAATTTCCCCGGGGTGCATACTTCGCGGGAGGAGGCTGGGTCCTAATTATGATTTGCACACGCTCAGCTCTGAAAGGTAAAGGCAGACTGCTTTCACACTCACTCACATCCCCACCAGCGGTGTGAAGAGGGGTTTCTCTTTCCCCATAGTAGTTACACTTCATGATATACTATGTATTTTACTTGTGTGTTTGTGTCCTAGCTCTCTCCACCTGCACCCCCATGTCAGAAGGGATTTTTGTCTCTTTTTTCACTATTCTTTTCCCAGTGCCTAGAACCATGTCTGGCACATAGGAGGTGCTCAATACATATTTTCTGATTGAACAGATGGATGGCCCAAAACAAGATCTGAGGACTAATATTAGATATTATTGGAATATTATTATTATTATTATTATTATTATTAATTTCCTGGAGAAAGGCTGATTCATCTCTCTGCTTCAATCCCCTGAGTCCAGGGAAACGACCATTGGCCCAAACTACTGATGCCTGGGCCCCCAGGCCACCTAAGTCAGAGCTTCTGAGGGTGGGGCTTCCCCTCCCATAATTCCCCCTGCTGGGGCTTACAAGGCCCTCCATCATGGCCCTGCCACTTCCTCTTGCTCACCCTTGTTGGTCTAAAATAACATCGCAACCCACCCACACTAAGCTCTTTCTAACCTCTGGGCCTTGGCACAGCCGTGTCCCCTCTGCTCCCCCTCCCACCCCACTTAACCACACTAAGACTCTGAATCTTTCAGGGAATAGCTGAAAATGTCACCTCCTTTGAGAAGCCCTCCCTGGCTCCTGAGACCTGGTAGAACCCCTGTGAGAGACCCTCATGATATCCTGAACTTGTCCTTCATGGCTCTTGCAAAATTTTGTGATCACACTTTGTATGATTCTCTGCTTCATGTCCCAGTCTTGCCCTAGACTCCGAGATGCAGGAGAGCAGGAACCAATTCTGTTTTGGTTATTCCCGTGTCTTAGCACATAGCCCAGTGTCTGCCCCATAGGCAGGGGCGAATATTTTTTGGACAGATGCATGGACAGATAGATGAGTGGATAGATGGATAGAGTTACAGGTGGATAGGAGGAAGGAAGGAAGGAAGGAAGGAAGGAAGGAAGGAAGGAAGGAAAGAAGGGAGGAAAGAAGGAAGGAAGGGAGGGAGGAAGGAAAGGAAGAAAGAAAGAAAGAAAGAAAGAAAGAAAGAAAGAAAGGAGGGAGGGAGGAAGGAAGACTCGCAGGGATGAATGTATAAATGATGGATGAATAGGACGCATGGAGGGATAGATAAGTAGATAGACGATAGATAGAGTGATGGGTGAATGGGTGAACAGATGACGGAGAGAACAAAAACTGAGTTCAACTCCAGCTGCCATCCTCCTGTGCCACCATAACGGCGCGCAAGAACATCCTGGATGGTGCTCTCAAGAGCGCCAACAAGGCGAAGAAGAAAGGCAAAGCACAAGTTCCTGCCTTCCATGCTCCAGAGTCATCGTCTGGTTCCTAACCGTGAGGGTGAAGCATGGTTGTGTCGGAGAACTTGAAATCCTAGTTATCACAGAAGGAGGAAACGTGGTGAACCTCATGCGCAGGTTAAACTAAGTGCGATTGGCCTGAAACTTGATGTACAACCCGGAGATCTAGAAAAGTGGCAGAATAACATCCTCCAACTCCTCAGTTTGATCTCATTGTGCGACCTCGGCTGGGAACGTGGCCGTGAGCACGCAAGACAAAAACACGCAGAAGAGAAAACCCTGGAATGCTTTTTCGAGGGATGTAATACATACGTACAAATTTTTTTTTTTTCCTGAAAGAGCTTGTGATTAATTGCTTTTGTCCTATTGGCTTCTCCACTGGTGTCTGAGCCACCTCCCCAGTGGATGGTGGCTCCCGGAAGGCCAAATTCCTTTCCCCTCCTTGAAATCCCTTTCTCCCAGGGTTCCCTGGGAGCAGGGCTTTTGCACTTTCGGGTTGTCCACAGCCCAGCGGAGAGGGGCCAGTAGGGCCGTGCCGCACCGGATCCTTAGCGGGATGCCATTCATTAGTCACTCAACAAACACAGAGGCAGCGCGGTGCTGTGGGAGTTGCAAAAGGATTTGGGGTTCAAACCCCAGCTCTGCCACTTCTTTCCTGTGGGAACCTGGGCAGATCATTTAACCTCTTTGAGCTTCAGGAGGTGGTTTTTTTCCCCATCTGTAACAGGAGGACAATATTCCCTACCTTGTGGGGCAATTATGAAGACTAGCATTATGTAAGTGCCAGACACATAATAGGCACTCAATAAATGCTAACCATTACGTAATGGGCACCAGCCACACCACACACGACGAATCAGACACGGCCCCTGAGCTCATGGATGTCTCCCTGTAGCAGGGACAGCACTGAAGTGGCTAATTGCGATAGAGACTGGTCACATCAAGGTAGGGGCAAAGGAACACAGAAGAAGACAGGATGAGTTCAGGAGAGGCTTCCCGGAGGACGTGGCATTCAATCAGATCTTAAAGAGCATTGTACAGTCCCAGAGTCATGCGACTGACTTGCTGCTAAATTTCCATATGACCTTGAATTAGCTGCTTCCCCACCCTGGGGTCCCCAGATCCCCTTCTGTAACAGAAAGGTTGTTGAGCACTAGCTCGGAATCTTTTGGGTCACAGGCTCTTTTGAGAAAACTCTCTGAAAGCCAGAGCCCTGCTTCCCAGAAAAAGGCACGGACACATCAGTCGGTCTGTGACGGGGGGGGGGGGGGGGGCCCTCATGGACCCCCATAAAGCCACCCTAGACTAAATCCCAGAGTCCAGTGATCCTCCTGGATCATCAGCACCTCACAGAGAGCTTTTTCCCTTTAGTCTATGGCAGGCCCAAGCAGACAGTCACTGACTCGATCTGGGAAAGTCCACAGACACTGGGCTGCAGGACAGAGCAGGGGCCTGGGGAGGGGAGGTCACTCCAGCTGGCTGGGGAACCGGCCTTTGATTCTGGGAAAGCGCCCCTGAGCAGCCGGCCCCTGACCTCACCTAGTTTATCGCCATCAGCCCTGGGGAGGAAGAGGAGTGTGGGCCGCTCTGGGCAGGCTCCCAAACAGGCCGCTGCCCCCCCCCCCCCCCGGTCTGCCGCCCCCGGCTGGAGTTCCCGGACACATCCTTTATCTTCCCTAATCTAAACACCCGCGGGCCACAGGGGTGGTCCACCCCCTTCGCCGCTAATGCGCGTCCTCCGCTGCATCCAGCCTGACAGAGGAAGGAGAGCTGGCCTTCCTTTCCAGCCAGCCAGCCTTCACCCAGCATTTATGAAGCACCTATTGTCTGCAGACATCTGTGAAGGAGATGGTGGAGGGCCTCATCTTACCTCCCTCCAAGGTCTCTGCCTCCCGGCCTGGGGCCCCTAACCCCCCCTTGGGGCTCACCCGGAGCCCGTGGGTGTTTTGGGGAAGTGAGCTCCGAACCAGCTAATGCGGTGCGGAAAGAAGAGTCAGTTCCGGGTTGGTGTCTGGGCACTGCTTGAACCCGCTGTGTGATCCTGGCCGTGTTCCTTGTCCTCTCTGGCCCTCAGTCTTCCCGTATGTACACTTCCCATTCCGCAAAGATTCCATTCGGCTCTGCAATGGGCCTCGTTAGCCCTCCCCGCTCCCCTCTCCCAGAATATTGGAAGGAGAAGAGAAAGCTATGCCCTAGAATGTGCAAAGATCTTCCTTCAGGCAGATCGCATTCATTAATTCAAGCATTTATTGAGCACCTACTGGGTGCCAGGCCCTGGACTCGGCAGTTGGAACGTGAAGGCGACTAGGATTCAAGCAGGCGACCCACAGACACCTCCCTCTCCCAGCCTGGCTTCAAGCATGGGGTCAGGAGACCCCCTGGGGTCCCAAAGTGAGGGGGGGGCTAGCCAAGGATTTGCCCCCCCCCCTCCCCGGGATGCGCTTGTCAGCGCCCGCGGCGCTTCGGGCCCGGCCTGTCTCCTCCCCTTCCTCCTTCTCCGCCCCCTCCCCGCCCCTCCCCGGAGCTCCGCCGCGGCCACCTCCCACCCGCGGGATCCCGGCGTCCAGAGCCGGCGCGTGCGTCCGTCGGTCGGCCGGGTAGTCTGTCCGCGCGGAAAGCCCAGCGCCCCGGCGTGCGGCGGCCGCGGGGCCTGGGAGGGACAGGGCGCGGAGGCGGGACCGCGGCTCCCTCCCACTCCGGGGGGAGCCCAGGAGGCGGCGGTGCTGAAGCGCCAGCGGAGAAGGAGGCAGCACAGCGGAGAGGCGGTGAGAGCGCGGGGCGCTTACGGACCCCACCCCCGGCTCCTGCGGGGGGCCGGCCGCGCGCTCGGGGGAGGGCTGGGCTGGGGAAGGGGGACGCTGGTACCCCCAGGGCGGGAAGCCGCGACCATCCGGCTCCCGGGCTTCTCCTACGAGGCGACGCGACCCCCGAGGGGCCCTGGGCCGCGCCTGCATCCCCGCGCATCCCCGCGCGCCCTGCATCCCGGCCCCGGCGCGGGCCCCGGGGGAGGGGCGCGCTCGGGGAGCTGAGGAGGGGGCGCGGCAGGCGCGGAGCCTCGGAAAATCGCGCCCGCGGCCCGTGCCCTCCCTTCGGGCCGACCCCGAGGGAACGCGGGCGGTGACCCCTCAAGCCCCCCTTGCCAGCCCCCCCATCGGTTCCCCATTGTTCTCAGCCGATCGCTCTCCCGGGAAGGGGGAGGGGGTGCTGCGCTCTCCTCTTAAAGGGCCCTCTCCCCTTCTTGTCTCCCGGCAGGTCGCGAGCACGAGTGGGGTGGGGCGTGCCCACGGGCCCCCGCCCCCCTCGTCCCCCCCGCCCAGCTCCGGAGCCGCAGCCGGGCCGGCGGGCCAGGGGTCCGCGGCGCACCCTCTCCGGTGCGTTCTTCGGCCAGCCAGGCCTACCAGGACGCCGTGTGAAGCAGGAACAGGGGGGACAGGGACGCCCCCTTCAGCAGGAGCCGTCGGAGGGGCGGACCCGAGACCAGGCGAGCAGCCCCGCAGGAGCCAGGCTCAGGGTCTGGGACGCAGTCGGGAGCGCAGAGGGCCGGCTGGGCGCCGCAGAGCCAGCAGGCTGGCCCGGGCCTCCTGGGTGACAGGCCCTGCGTGGCTGGCTGGGAAGAAGTGACTGGAGACCTGCAGGAAAGAGACTGGACCTAGAGGAGGGGCGGCTGCCTCGCTGTCTTTGCTGAGCCCCGGGGACCGGGGACCGGGGAATTTAGAGCAGCGTTTCCCCATCCTGAAAAAGACATTTGCTGTCCAGAGCAGCACCCTTTATCTGAGACAGCGCTGGGGGCGGGGGTCCTTGGGGCCTGGAACCCCACCCCACGCTCCTTTAACTGGGGCCTCTGGGCCTCACAGAGGACCCCGGGTTCGCAAGGAGGCCTTCAGGGTCCTGGCCCCTGCGGCTGCAGCAGTGGCCATGTCAAGGCCAGGCCAGGGTGTGATGATGCCCGTGAACGGGCTGGGCTTCCCACCGCAGAATGTGGCCCGGGTGGTGGTGTGGGAGTGGCTAAATGAGCACAGCCGCTGGCGGCCTTACACGGCCACCGTGTGCCACCACATCGAGAACGTGCTCAAGGAGGACGCCCGTGGTTCTGTGGTCCTGGGGCAGGTGGATACCCAGCTGGTGCCCTACATCATCGACCTGCAGTCCATGCACCAGTTTCGGCAGGACACAGGTGAGCAACCCCACCCCACCCCGCCCCACCCACCCGGCCGGCCAGGCCGAGACGGACAGGGTCGCCAGCACTGTGACGAAACATCGCCTTTCGTGGTGGGATGCTAAAATCCCCGCGGCATCCCCGAGGAGGGAGCCTGGGAGGCTGCTCTGCTGACCCAGCCTTGCTCACCTCCCCCAAAAAAGGGATAGCCTCGCCTAGTCCAGCTCAAGACTTGGGTTCCAGTCCGGCCTCTTCTATGCGTGGTAGGGCCTTGGCTGAGCTCCAGCTCCTCTCTTAGCCTCGGTTTCCTCGCCTGTAAAATTGGTGGGTCAGTGTCTCCCACAGCTGTGTGAGGATCGAGTAAAATCGCGCTCACTGAGCCCAGAACCTAGAAAAGCTTAGCACTCCGGGAAAGGGCTTTCCATGCACTTCTTCATTGGATTCTCTCCCAACAATCACAGATCCTAATACTACTGAATTATTATTATTATTATTATTATTATTATTATTATTATTAGGAGTCCCATTTTACAGATGAAGAAACTGAGTCTCACAGAAACCAAGTGATTTAAAAATTTAGAGCGGGGATTTAAGCCCAGGCAATTGAGTTCCAGAGCCAACACTCTTGGCTGGTTTCCTGTACTGGCTCCAGGTGTTGGTGGTGTTGGGATGGGTGTGAGGGCGGTTGGTAATGATGGAGGGAGGGGGTGAGGTGGCCGTGATGGAGACAGTGTCGGTGGCGATCCCAATGATAGTATTGACTGTGGACTTGGTGGCCGTCTTGGTGGTCGTGTGATAGGTAACGATAGTGACAAAAATGGTGAGGTCCACGCTCAGCATTCATGTTCTGGAAGCATGCCATCCCTGTGGAGGTCTCTGGGGGTCGTCGCTTGCTGGTCTCCGACAAGCTTGGTGGGCAGTGGGGGGTGGTGAGTGCCTGCCTCAAGGAAGCTGCCAGAGAATCCTTAGCACCTTTGACCCCAAGGGCCGGCTGAGGGAGGTTTGGGGGAGTTCCTGCGAATCCCTGCTGGACAGAACCGCACGTAGCAGCCGCGGAGATAGTAGGACACTTCCCTGCTCTCCAGAGCTGTTCAAGATGGTAGCCGCTAACTACATGCAGCTATTTAAATGTATGCTAATTAAAATTAAACTTTAAAATTCAGTTCCTCAGTCCCACCAGCCGCATCTCAAGTGCTCCATGGCCACGTGCGTCTCAGAGCTACCATATTGGACAGACAGCATAGGTCCAGAGCACCGTCATTATCACAGAAAGTTCTAGTGGGCAGCTACGCACTAGAACATCGCTTGGTGCTAACAGAGTGGTGCTAACCGAGTGTGGAGACGCAGATGAATTCCTAATACGTGGTTTCGGCACATCTGTGATTCCACAGCTCCAGGCACTGAGTGTGGTCACTGGTGGTGCCAGGCATTCGTTCATGCTGTCATACAATCACTTATTGATCTCGCTGGGCGTCAGACCCTGTGCCAAGCACTAGAAAAACGCATGGACCAAGACAGACCGGGTCCTGGGCAGAGGTTCACTGGAGGACCTACACCGGAGGTCCCAGGGAGCAAGCAGTCACGTAACGCACAGATAACTGGTTGCAGGTCTGAGAACATGAGGTGAACCCGGTGTACGGGGGTGGGTGACAGAAGATTAACCTCAGGAAGTGATGTTTGAACGGAAATATGAAGAATGAGTGAGTGGGGCAGTGTTCCAGGCTGAGGGAGCCGTGCGTGCAAAGGCCCTGTGGCAGGAAGAAGCTGAGTACATTCAAGTCCGCTGTGTTAAGAGTGCAGTAAGTGAGGGAGAAGTGGTGCAAGCCGAGGTTGAAGCAGAGCCTGGACAGCCGTGAAAAGGGCTTTGAATTTTCTCCTGACGGTGGAGAAAATCACCATTAACCCTCATGCCCATTCTTCCAGAGAGGCGCTGAGCCCCAGATGGAGAAGTGAGAAATGCTAGGCGTTCCCTGCCCTATTCATCTGCTTTATCCTCTAACCTTCTCTGCTGGAGGGCAGGGGTCTGACATCAGGAGGAAGTGCGTTTTCTCCTTGGCTTGGTGTTTGGCTTTCTGCAGGTTCAGAGCCAGCTCTGGGTGTGGAAATTTTCCAGGGCCTGGCTGGGGGTGGGGACGGGCACTTGGAGGCAGGGATAACCCCACCCAAGGCTGCCACGTTGGCCCCCTGGTCCTTGGCCCGCTGTTTCAGGCCCCTTTCCTTTCCTAATCCCAGCACCCCCACTTGGGCCCCTAGCTCCCCAAACTCCCTCCATTCCCCCTTTCAGCGGGCCCCTTAGTCTCAATGGCAGCCCGTTTTTGGTTCAGCTTTGCTGAATCCCCCAGAAGTTCAGCTTCAGCTACTTCCCCACGCCTCCTCCCCAGGGCTGTTCACCCACACCTACCCCCTGTTTGCCAGAAAAGGGAAAAAAACCACTCATCCCTCAGCAGGCTCCTGGGAGCCTGCCAAGACCCCCCAGTAAGGGAGGAAGGCCTGGAAACCTGTGGGGTGGAGGGGGGCACCTTGGTTGTGGAAAGCCGCTGGAGGGAGGGGCAAAATGCCTCCCCACCAGACACGTTATTCTGTGTTCCCCACTTCTCCCAGAAGTAACACAAGTCAAGAAAGGACATCTTGTCCTCACTGTTGATGGCCCAGGAAAGAGCCCCAAGCAGGTGTCCTCAGCTCTCTAGGCCTCACTTTCCATCTGTGAAATGAGTGAGAGCATCACTCATTTGGGTTGATGGAGAGAACGAAGCCTATTTTTTTATCCCACAAACGTTGACTAATCCCCCGCCATGTGCCTCGCGTGTACTAGATACGATAGATGCACAAGAAGTGGGTAGGAGGTCCTAAATCTTGGAAAAGATTATGATTCTCCCTCGCATGCACTCTCTCTCTCTCTCTCTCTCTCTCTCTTCCCCACCCCACTCCCACCATCACACACGCGCAAAACACTATAAAGCTATAAAACCCAAAGCTCACATACATGTACTGAAATGAACACAGCTTCTATCTAGATTTTCTAATCGTAAAATTCTTGATAAGCTCCCTGAAGCCGAACTTTAATTTTGGGGGGAGGGAAGGGGCAGTGTGCCTCAGCTTTGCCAGTGCCCTAACACTGGAGCCGATGGGCTTTCTGACAAGGTCAGGCAGTAAATATCTTAGCCTTTGCGGGCCATACTATCTGTGTTGTAAGCACCACCCTCTCCCTTGGCGATAGAAAAGCAGTCACAGACAGTCAGCAAATGAGCAACTGTGGCCGCGTTCTAACGAAACTCGTTAGGCACCCTAACACTGGAATTTGTATAATGTTCACAAGTCATGAAATATTCTTTCGTCTCCCCCCCCCCCCCAACGATTGACAAGTGTAGAACCCACTCTTAGCTCTCGAGCTGTGCAAACGCAGGCGATGGGCAGATTTGGCCCACAGCCTACCGTTCACCAACCCCGCCAACCCCTGCCCTGTTGTGCTCTCAACCTGCCCATGGGGTAACACAGCCCTGCCACACCCGTCAGAGCCTCTACTGAAATACACGCCTCGCGGTGTGGGCCAAGGTGCGTATGCGTGGGCACACCCACGCACACGGCAGCGACCCGCTTGTCTACCACCGACGCCCAAACGCCCTGTCTCTGTGCCTGTCGCGCAGCCGGCGGAAGGAAGCCCAGGTGTGAGGCTTGGACCACAGGAGAGAGGCCAGGCCCGGTCCCGTGGGGGCTGCTGTTTGTTCAGCCGGTGCCCCCTCACCTCTTTCCTGCCGGTCTGTTTTCATCACTCCCCGCGGGAGGTGAGGTTCCCTTTGAAGCCCTGCAGGTCCAAGCCCACGTGTGGGGGGGAATGCTGTGACCCTGGGCCACGTGATGTTCGAGCCCTCACTGTGGCATCCCAGGCGCAAGGCTGGAAGGGAGAGCCAGAGTCAGGCAAAGCACAAGGCGGGCGCCCTCTTCATAGGCGTGTGCTCTGCAATATGTTGACCTTCTTGCTGTATCGCGTGCCGTGTCCCCCAGCTTTCCTCATCTTCCTCTGTGTTGAGCTGCCCCCTGCCACAGGCAAACCAGGCATTCACAAATGCGAAGCCAAGGTCAGTGGGCTCGCCCAGGTGGTTGCAGCATCCGGTGGCAGAGCTGGACCCGGGAGCCATCCGGGGTCGGCTCCCGCCAGCAGCCGGGAGATAATTTGGGAACCGCTTGCTGCCCCCCTGGCAAGGCCACAGCTTCCCTGAAGGTTCGTTGGCCCCCAGCCTGCTGTCGGGGTGACAGCTCACCCCGACCCCAGAGTTTCCACCCAGTCCCCACAGCTGGACAGAGATATGACTTAGCCGCTTCCCAGCTAACTTCCAGATTCCTCCCTGGACCTCCATGGCAGGGGATAGAGGGACAGGCCAGCTTTCTGGCTGATTGGTACCAAGCCCACATCATTCCTTCTCTGGGTAGCTTGGGCTCCACTCAGCCCTGGTCACTGCCCTCATGTGGATGTCCTATCTGAGGACATTCTTAGGCTGTGGGAAACCAGTGGGGCTGCCCAGAGAGGGAAGCTGCCATCACCAGGGCAAGCACCGCCAGAAATCAGGCTCTTAGGCAGGCTATTGTCAATGGAGAGACTGAGGCCCAGAGAAGGCGGGCCCGAGGTCACACAGCCAGCCAGCCCCAGCGTGGAACCCAGGCCTCTCGGATGGGTCTCAGGGATGGAGAACAAGGTGACCTTCGGTGCTGGGCTGACAGAGTCCCCTCCCCCTTCTCCCTCCAGAGCTCTGCTGGGGCTTGTTGTCGGAACGGCCTATGGAACCCCAGAGGCCTCCAGCACCAGCTCCCTAGTCACAGGACCCCTGGGGACCCTCTCCCAGCCAATATGTGTGTGTGTGGGGGGGGGGCTCTTGTGGCGGGGCCGACCAGCAGAGGCCAGAAGGATGATGTATGTTGGGGGGGGGGGGGGCCCGTCCATCCCATGGCAGCAGCAGGTCCAGCTAATCTGTTCATGGGTGTCTGTCATTACCACCTGTCACACTGCCCACATTCACACCTGGCTTCAGGAGCTGCTTTTTTTTCTTTTTAAGTTTATTTCTTTATTTCGAGAGAGAGCATGCACACACGTGCACGTGAGTGAGCAGGAGAGGGGCAGAGAGAGAGAGAGAGAGAGACAGGACCCTTGCCAGACTGGTTTCAGAGCTTTGCAAAGGCGGAGGCAGACACATAGCATGGGAATAGCGGTCGAACCCTCTGACTCGGATATGTAGAGCTGAAGTGCAGGCTGGCCCCTTGCTAGCTTGGTGACCCTGGGCAAACCTCTTAACCTCTGGGAGCCTCAGTTCCCTCCTCTGTAAGGGGGGGAGTAACAATAGTGCCTACCTGAGAGGGCTGGCGTGAGGATTAAATGAGATAATATAGGTAAGAGCAGGAAGAATATTACTTTGGACGTAGTTATCACTCAAGTAGGACAGAGGGTTACATGCTTCATAGGAGAGGTGCGGGTTGCCTTGGGCCAGTGACTCGGGCAGCGTGTGCCTGGGGGCTCTGAGAGCGAGGACTTCCTTGAGGAGGAGTCCTCCAAGAGTCTGTATTGTTTGAGGAGCACTTCCAGGTGGAGGGAGCTGCATCAGGAAGGTCCTGGAGGAAGCCTCAGGCCTGGGGGGAGGAGGGAGGCTGTGCTGGAAGAGCGGAGGGGTAAAGGAGGCCTCTTGGGTCCCACTGGGCATCGCCAGGCTGCCAGCTGCTGCCCTTTAGCGGGCGGGCCCCAGGGGACCCAGAGCCATGCTGAAGGACCAGCCTCGTTAATCATGGGCCCTTGGAGGCCAGAGCTGAAGCCTGCTGGGGCTGGGGCGGGGAGGGTGGCTGATGCAAGCATATCCTTGCAGTCCATCGGGCTCCCTCCACCCAGCCAGGGGGCGTCACCCCATTTTACACACAGCAAAGCTGAGGCTCAGAGGGTGGGGAGCCTCCTGCCAGAGCTCGGAAGAGACGGAGGGACATTCAGATCCAGGCCTGCGGCGCCCACCCCATGCGAGGCCGGGCGGCCCTAGCACCTTGGACAGCGCCACCAGCGCCTTGCCCAGGCCTGTGGGGGGTTGTCCCCGGGATCCTGGGTGGGATCCCGCTCACAGCCGGCCCCCTTCTCTCTCTTCTCCTGTCCCCTGCTCCTCCTTCACCCCTCTCCATCCTTCCCTGCTTTCTCCCAACCCCCCAGCCTCCTCTTTCCAAGGGAGCTGTGGAGTCTAACCCAGAGGTGAGGGAGGTGATGAGCGCTGTGGCGGGGGAGGGGATGAGACCGATTGGCGCTGTTCTATTACCAGTAAGGTGGGGCGGGGCTTTGATGAAGCCCTCAGGGAGGGTAACGGTGGCCGGTGGCCGTCCTGGGTCCTGGGGAGGGGAGGGGGTGGGGATGACAGGGGCTCCGTTGGCCGTGATGGAGGGTGGGAAGAAGCTGATAAGCAGTGAGGGGGGAGGCATGGGAGTTCTAGTGGGGAGGTGATAGAACACGCGATTGGAAGGTAATAAGGAAGGGTCGGGGTGGGGAGGTGATGGGGTAGGACTGGTCACAGCAGCGGTGCCCACTCAGGCCGTGGACGGTGGGGTCACTAGTTCTCCTTCCCAGGGTGGAGTTCTCAGGGTGTGGAGCGTGCCCGGGCCCTCCCAGCCTCCCCTCCCCCAACGTCTGTGTCTCCCAGGGCCTCCCCTCCCACTACTCCCGCATCACACCCCAGGTAGCCCCTCCCAGGACAGCCTCCTGATTGACACAGATACCCCCACCAGCCCCTGGCTGCCCCTGGCTGATGCCGGCTGAGGACGTGGGGCCCCAAACCTGGAACTGGCTGCCTCAGGGAGCCTTGCGGGTGAGGCCCGGGCTCCAGGTTCCCTTCCCAGCAGCTGTCTGATGTTGGGAGCGGGGGTGGGGTGCAGGCTTGTGACTTTGGGTAAGCTGCACTTTCTCCCTGAGCCTCCCTTTCTCCTCTGGAATGTGGGCCCCGACACCAGTACCTATCACATGGGATTGCGGTCAGTATTAATTCCTTCATTCATGCAGTAGGAATGTCATGAGCACCTACTATGTGCCAGGCACTGTCCTAGGCCCTAAGGATGCAGCAGTAAACAGGACAGACAAACCCTCTTCCTCAAGGCCCTTCTCTGTCTGGTGTGACGCAGGAGGCCAGGCACCACGGAGGTCCCAGGATGTGGGGCTGTTCCTGACCTTGGGGCCCCAGGAGCTACCAGGCTGGGGGCTCAGTCTCCTCTGGATCCTTTGTGGCTGTGTCCTTGCTCTGCTCCCCTGGCCAAGCTCCTCTCCCTCTCTGGGCTCTGGAGTGGCTCCAGGCTGCCACCTCCACCTGCCCAGGCAGTAATAGCAGGCCGATGACAGGGTATGGGAGGGAGTCTGGCACCCGGCCCCGGAGCTGAGTGCCCTGAAATGCAGAACAAAGGACAAGGCAATCAAAGGAGGCAGCGCTGGCGGCCAGGACAGTCCTGCCAGCAGCTGCAGCACGGCCACCTCTTCTCCCGGTGACAGGCCTTTGTCCCCTCTGCCTCCAGCTGCAAGCAGGACACTCCAGAGGAAGCATACGGCTTACCTGGAACCACACCATTATGGGGCCCTCCTAGGCGCCTCTGTTCTAGGGAACGAAGGTTCATTCATGCCAACGCGTGAGTCACCCGGTACCGTGGAAGTAAGAGAAGGGTCTGGGCTCTGATTTCTAGGTGATATGGGCCAAGTCCCTGTCTCTCTCTGGGATCCAGTTCCCCCTTCTTGACAGTGGCTGAAAATTCTGATGCTTACAGAGTCCAGGCAGCTAGTAAAAGTGTGTGCAGTGGCTGGGAAGGCAAAGGTTTCCAACCGCTGTTCCCTAGTGCTTGGTACACAGTAGGTGTTCAATAAATACTACAAAGCATGAATGCGGTGACCGTGACTCAGTTTCTGCTAACGGTTGCCAAGGAGGCCAGTCCCTCTGGCCACATCTTTGGATATTTTGGGATGTTGTTTGAAACCCAGACTTGAGTGAGTCTACCCCAGTTTTCAAAGGCGGGTCATTTTTGTCTTTTTTTTTTTTTTTTTTTTTTTCAATGTAAATAGCATGCCGACCACAACAAACACATCCACCACTAACTTGCAATCTTCAGGCTAGTCGTTTCTAGCATTCAGTTAGGTTCACTCGTGTGTATTTATTCGGTCCTCCCTTGCTTCCCGCAGCTAGCATTTTCCAAGGGCCTATGCGTGTGTTCCCGGCTATCAGGGGATGCTAAGGTGGCTGAAAGCCAGCCCAGCTTCTGAGAGGTGCCCAGGCTGGAGGGAACGCAGTCTCAATATTTCAGCGAGCTACGTGCTTTAATGGGGGTACTGCAGTTGCAAGGTGCCGTGGGAGCCCCAAGAAGGGTGTGATTCTCCCTCAGTATGGCAGGGAAGATCCCAGGAGGACAGTGCTTGCGCTGAACTGGCAGGGGGGAAAATGGGCTGGGGGAATCGAAGGACATTCCAGACAGAGGAAATGGCACGTGCAAATACTCGGAGGCACAGCCACGCACAACATGCTCAGAAAAGAACTGGAAGTTGGGTGTGGCGAGAGCGTGAGATGGCACAGACAGCTTGTGATGGGTCAGAGATGAGCTGAAGAGCTTAGACTGATTCCTAAGGGCACTAGGGAGCTATTGATGGGTGCTGAGCAGAAGAGTGATGCGGTCAGACTTGAGTTTGGCTCTGGCTGCCACGTGAGAATGCGTTGCAGGGTGCAGAGGGCGCAAGCTGGGACACGGGGCAGAGGTTACTGCCGTAGTAACCTCTACGAGGTTAGGAAGGAGACGAGGAAGGAGAGCCTCGGGGGACTGCTCCTTCCGTTCCCTGTCCCCTCGTTTCCCCGCATGCAGCTCTTGTTGCTGTATCAGGGGGTCTGAACACCAGTGTGCTAGAAGCCGGGTGACCGAGAGGCCCCGCACGCGGCCCATAACGCGGACACATCCAGCTGCCAGCAGCCTCTGGGACGAGGGCCTTTCGAAATCGATTCGCAGGCGGTAGCCTGAGTGCCACGCGGCCCCTCGGCCTTCCTCACCCCTCCCCTCTCCTCTCCATTGCCCTGGCCTGGCTGCCGGCCCACCCCGGGGA